CCCCTACCCCCTTTCCTTTTTTGTTTTCTTTTTTTCTTTTTTCTTTTTTTTTTTTCTTCTCCTTAAAGAATTCCATAGACATATAAACTCTTCTTCGCGCATAAAAAATGACATAGATATATCTTAAGTACGAATGAAAAATATTTTAAGTACGTTTCTATAATTATGAAGAAAAAAAATAAAATTATATTGCAATTACGATTAAGAACTAATTCGTTGCGTAAATACATATATATAATATATAATATATATATATATAATCTAGTAGGAAAATTATATGAATCGAACGCATATAATCGCGTAAAAATGGGAACATATATACGATGAGAATGATTACCGATTAAAAAGTCTTTGCCCGTGAATTATAAAAATTCAATAAAAATAATTCGAGTTTTATATTCGTTCGCGTACCCTTAGGACTTATTTAAAGATATCTCGTTTATAATCTATACATAGTGCCATCTTTGATTGCCCAGAGACTACGATATCCATCATATAAATCTCATTAAAAAGAAGACCATTTCACGGCTATATAAATGTTATCTTAAGCCTTTAGAAAATAAGTTGTAAAGATTTGAAAACCCTGTGAGTGTTATGCAACTGACTACTTTCATTGCATTTTCCTTCCCTTTTTTCTATTATTTTGTTCTTCCTTTTTTTTTTTTTTTTTTAAACTTTTTGGTTGTATATTTTAGAATGTAAGTCGATGGTATCGCATTAACCGGTATAAACACGGAGCATTTAATTGCAATGCTCTGGTTTAACCGCTATACAATACCCTATTATATAGAAGTATACTCATATAAAATAAAACATATCCAAAAAACGATATACTCATATAAAGTATACGATGCACACACTTCTTTTTATCCTAGGGCAGGATTCTTACTATACAAACTATTACAGTTTCTTATTGAGCATATTTTAGAAATTGTTTAAATCGTTGTAGGAAGTATTTCAATTGTATTGTATTGACTTAATTTCAACTATACGCTAGAATCTAGAATCTCTTATGAAAACTCCCCTTTGCTCTGTTAGATTCTTTTGATTGTGCGGATTCGCTTTGTAAGAAGACATTATCGTAAAAAGACATAAAGAAAGCCAGAAAGATAAGCGTTCTGAATAGGTTCCTTTTAATGTGATTTCTGAACCTTGGAAGTTCAAAAGATAACCCTCTCTTTCTCTCAAATTCAACGAAATGCACATTTCGTGTCATGCATTGCTTTAAAAAGCATTGACAATCAACTAGATACTTGCGTATAGTGTAAACAGTCATGATGCCCCAATTATAATTTCTACCATGAATACTCTTACTGGTTTTGTTTGGAATTCCTAGGAACTTCAAATTTTCCGCTCTCTTCCCAAACAATGTTGCTACGTTCAAGCTTCCTATAAAAACGATAAAATTAAAAAAAGAAAATAACACAGTATTGATGATATAATTCCATTAAACTATGTTACTCACATCGGGAAACAAAAAGTGTTCACGAGTAGGTTGCGGCTGTTCAAAAGGAGAGCTGCTCATATATCCAGGCGAAGGGGACTCGCTTTTCTCAAGTACTGGGGTAATATTTGCGTAATTGGCTGATGGTGTCGTCAACGTTCTTCCTTGCTCGACAAGAATACTTCTGTCAATCTTGTAATACTCTTTTCCACTGCGAGGACGAAGCGTCGTTGCCACTGCTCTGCCACCCAGTCTGAAAAACCGAATAAAAGATCGAGTATTCTTCTTTTTCTTCTTCTTCTCTTTAATGACCTCTTCTTAGTCAGTGTTTCTCCATGATACGAAGAGGGTGGAAGCTTTAAGAAAACGTTAATTACATTCTCTACAGGAGCATCTTACCTCAAACTATCCGGCGTATCGGATGACGAGTGAGACGATAACGACAACGTCTCGATGTAATCTGACATATCAGATGTACCGCTACTCGTGCTTCGCGAGTCGATGTAAGGGGTATTAGACACTTCCCCTGGACTATTGAAGCCTTTCGTTGCCTTGGGTAAACATGTCGGAATGTCAGCTTCTGCCGAAGAGGATTTCGTAGGGATTTTGATTTTCTGAAATTGAAAGGACAATTCTCGAAGTGGATCACTGGATTTTGATTTTCTTGGTAAACTGCTGTGATAACACGTAGGCGGTGAACTTTTTCTATAAACAGACAACACATTCTGCTTCCTCGTCGACGTCGAAGCGGTCAATGATAATTCGAACTCCACGAATTCTGCCGTTCTATGACTAAGAGATCCAGTGGAAACACCTGAATCGTTACTACTAGAAGAGTCTCTATTGTGGCCAGTTTTAGATGGAACGGAAGAGGAGCGTCGAATTTTTATGAACGATGGTTGGGGTGAGGTTACCGATATTTGTCCGTTATCTTGGTTAATCTTGACCTCTGAATTAACGCATGGAGAATGCGTTTCTCCTCTAACCAGAGAAGCTTTGTCCGCTTCGCTGGAACATTTATGAATGGTCAACGTCGAAGGGAACGTATGATTCTCATCATCCAAATAGTGAGCAGACTCTGCAGAATAAGATCGCTTTCTTAACAATAAACCAATGTTTCCACTTGATTCTGTCGCACCATTTCCGTCCAAGTAACGACGTCTAAGGTACGGGCTGGACAACATCGCCGAACCTGGAACACGAAACTCGGAATCGGATCTCTTTTTGCCGCTTTCCGACAAAGCGGAGCCTGATAATGCAGGATTGCTCGAACTCTTTATACCGCTGCAAATTCTGGACAAAATTTCTTTCGAGCAAGCATTGTGCGCTGGCTGCATCGGTAAATAGCCAGGGAACGGTTTCTTTGGCGTTTGCTTTTCAGGATCCATAACCAAATAATCGTTTTCGCTATCTTTAACATGGCCACACTTCTGGCATATTTTGGACGAATCTTCTGTGGGCGGTTCAGGTGTGTCGTCCTTAATTTGATCGGAAAACTTTTCTATCTCTTCTTGTGATATTCCACTTTTAGCCAAAAGGTCTTTACTGTTTTCATAATGCTCGAGGGATTGGGTAAAATCTATATTCGCGTAATTCGCCTGTTTAGACTCGGGTTGCGTGTCGATAACAGGTTCAACGTTCTCGTAATTGTTGGTTCTTGTTTCTGGACATTCGCAATTATCCTTGTTCTTATCTTCCACGTTCTCCGATTTCTTCACCCGTTTCGCTGTTGCGTAAATCGCAATCTCTCCGCTTGCGTTAACCACAGGCATTTTCCCTTCTCCAGAAAGTTTCACAGGATGCACAGCAACCCCGGTTGGTTCAATTCCTGCACCTCTTCTACAATACGGCAGTACGAAACCGGCCCAGCTCATCACATTTTGGCAGGGACATCCGGAGGATCTGGGAGATTGAACGGTGAGCTTGGCCGGACAGCCGCACTGCTGCAACACTACAGCTTGAGGTGTTTGCGGTGTATCGTAATTAGGATAAGTTTTTGGCAGTGCTAGGCATTCTTTGATTTTCCTTGGCGTGTCATAATACTGATCTGGTTGAGAATTCTGTTCCAACACCATATGATGGCCCAAAATCGTCTTGGGCACGTCGTAATTCTCATAAGGACCAGCAGCGGCGGGTGTGTTTCGCAGGACCAACTGCTGCTTACGCGAATGAACGCAAACTTGTTCGTTTGGCAATGGCATGGGAGGTTTTTTAACCTTTTTTGTGGCAGTGGTTTGGGACGGTTTCGGTGGTCTCGGTGGCAGTGCGTTAGGACTTGGCGACACGCGTTGAACGCTCGATTGTTGCTGCGAGTTCTTCGAAT